AGCTCCCAAGCTTTTAGAAGAATTCCATAGCAAATATGTGCCTAATTGGCTGAAAAATTAGGTCTTTAGATGCCAGTGACAGAATTTCCTCCCTGCCTTCGTGGTTCCCTGTGGCAGAGCACTTTCAAGTTGCAATAACTGCTTTTCTTTTCCTCACAGGTAGCTCACTGCTGGTCTACAACACTCCATCCCACACAGAACCCTCCTCACGTCTTGCCACCAAAGAAGGTCAGTGTTTTGTTTTTCAATGTCCTGCCTCCCTGTGCTCTCATGATGGCTTTGCTTGGGTTAAAACTAGACTTTTTTTTTATAATAACCCTGGTGTGACAGTGGCCTGCTCTGCTCTGCCTGCACAGTGTTTCAATAGAATAATTAAATAAATAGAATAAGCGGTTGTTTTCAGCCCAGTCCGGGGTGACAATCCCATCTCTGCAGCTCCAGTCCTGCTCCTCTTTCTTATTTTTAAAGACCAGCTGGATTCTCAGTCATGCTAAAGTTCTGAGAGTTGGTGTGATGGGTGTGATCAGAGAATCCCAGAATGGTTTGAGTTGGAAGGGACCTCAGGGATCATCTCATTCCAACCCGCTGCCACGTGCAGGGACACACGTGGTGATACCCAACCCTTGTCTACATAAGACAGCAAGTCCCAGTTGAATTGATAAAGGCCAAAGAGGGTGAAGAAAGAGCCAAAATCACTGTGTAGGACTGGGAGCCTTGGGCTTGGTCTGCCTTTGCCTTTGTGCAGCTGCAGGAACGTTGGGCTTGTTCCCTGCACTGTGTTCAGCCCCTCATTTGAAGAGTTTCTGGGCCAAGTGTGCAGTGCTCTGTCTGCCAGGTGAGATGTCCCACCCTGACCCAGCCTCCTCCTGTGCCCAGATAGTCTCCTCACCTCGTATATAAACACCCTCATGGGCGTTTGTACACACATGTATTTATAGACACATTTATCTTTATATATTTGCGTATAAATCTTATATAAATAAATATTTATATCTTTTATATCAACACACACATGATTTTCAAGAAAATTTCGCTTCATGGCCGAGTCTCAAGTTTGCATTTCGAAGAACAGTGGGGAAAGGCAGAAGTTCTTTTATTTAAGCAGCTGGAGGGACAAAAGCTCCCATTTCCCTGAAAGGCTGCAGCAAACAGCTCCCACATTTACCAAGCTCCTGCGTGGAGTGTCTGGCTGCCTCTTTGACTCGCTGCCCTCCCAGCCAGCCCCTCCTTCCCCTCGCATTTCATCTCCAACATCTGCATGCGACATCAGGGCTGGAACTCCTTTTGTGCAGCCTGTAAATATCCACTTGAGCTGTGTGCTCTCTCTGCTGAGACAGGCACTGGCTGATGAAACCTGGGACACTACAGAGACAAAGCCCTTCAGGCTCTGCTGGGACTGCCTTGCCACTGACAGTCTATTTAGAATTGATAAGAGCTGGGCCTGCTCCTGGGTGAATAAAGCACACACGTGCTCCTCCACAATTCCCCCTCTACACACAACCCCCCCCAAACCCTCTGCTCTGTTTGTCTCAGGCCAGGTGGTTGCTAAAAATAAAGAGAAAAAAAAAAAACCCACAGGGTTTTTTTTTGTTTGTTTGGGTTTTTATCATTATTTTTATTATTATTTTATTAAAGAGAAATGCTCTGTATAAAAATTGCACTTCTCTGAATTTCTTAAACCTTTTATCTCTGTGACTTGAGCCGCTCAGGCTGAAAGAAATTCGAGGGGAGAAGTGTTCCTCCCCCTCCACTTTTACTGGCCTCCAGCGTGTCCCTTTAGTGCTGCCGACAGAGGTTGGGGCTGATTTCTGTCAGCCTGGTGTTCTGAACCTCACATGGTACTTTCATCATGTGGCAATAAAGGACCGAGCACACCCACGGGGCAGCCAAATAAAAATTAAGAGCTGCACAGAAATGTTGAAATCCCATCCATTCCTTTCCCATTTCTTCCTTTCCTCCTTGTTCCTTCAATGCTGAATCTGCTGTGGGATCAGCTGACCCACTTTCACCCACTGATCCATGCCCCAAGTGTTATTGGTGAGATAAGATGTCAGGATAAGAGGCAGGAGGACGTGACAGGCTGGCAGAGCAGGAACTGGGGGAGCAGAATGAAGTGTCTCATCCAATATCCCAGAAGAAACTCATAATGAACTTAAAACTGGGCTTGTAATTCCTCAGCCTTGGTCTAGTCCATCAGGCAACAAGATTTTCCTTGCTTCCTTTTAAGGCTTTTCAATGGGCCCACATCAGGAGGATGCTGTTATTTTTGGAAAAGATAAAAATTTCAGGTTAAAAATCATGATTTTTTAGAAGTTAACCTCTCAAAAGATTACACATTTCTCTTTACGTCCACGCATCTTGAATCTACTAATCCTGTAAATACTTCTCCTCCCTATGCCTGTGAATAAAACTAGGCGATTTTTTTTCTAATCACCTTCCCCTGAGGATCCAAAAGCAGGAGGACGTGACGAAACAGCACAAGAAACGTTAAGAGAGAGGGAAAAAAAAAAAAAAAACACAAACGTTTTCTTCACTCCTCCTCCTGTAATTTTTCTGAGCTCACATCAGTGATGCCAGCAACGTGCCTGCAGACTGCAGGGAGAGCCCCACGCTCTGTGCATGCACTGCCACTGCTCTGCACACACATCCAAAGGACAATCTACAGGGCTAAACCCAGGCTGCAGCTGCAGCACAGACAGATGCAGATGTTCCAGACGCAGCACATGGCTCCCAAATTGTTCCAGACAGAGCAGGGTAGCAGGATGGTGCCCCCAGGAGCCCCTGGCCCGTGTCCCCAGGGCTGGCTCTGCACACAGAACTGCCTTGGCTGGTTGCAGCTGCAGACTTGACTCCCTTTTTCCCCTTCTATTTTCTGCCCTCTCACTTCTCCTCTGCAGCGCCAGGACCTGCAGCGCTGCTTTGGGGGAGCTGAACTGCCTCCAGAAACTGCTTCCAGAAACTGCTTCCATAACCTTCCCCTGCTAGGACACGAGGCAGCTGAGCTTTGCTCTCAGATCAGACAGGTACAGCCCTCCTGGTGCTCAAAGGGCTCTTGTTGCCTGAGCTTCCTCTCCTCTCAGCCTCATAAACACTCCAAAAGGATGGTATTTAGCGTCATGGGGACAAATTGTCTTCAGCTGCCTGGGAGAGATAAATTGCCCCAATGAAAATTACCAGGGTTTTTTTGGCCAGAGAGTGGTTTTCTGGGAAATGTGGAAAGATTTGGGTCCCCCTCCCAGCTCCCCAGCGGAGAGAGGGGCTGTTTCATTTTCCATGCCTGTTTGGAGCAATGACTGACCTACTGTAGGTACTGCAGACACGGGGCAGGAATCTGAGCCCACGTTATCTGTGAGTCCAGGGAGGCTTTGGATTGCTCTCCTGCAGGATGGTGTCGTTTCAGCAGGTCCCCATAGGGAGATGGAAAGTATATTCACACACAGCAACATTCAGAGGCCGCAGGGCTGTGTCCTAGGTGGCTCTGAGCACTCTGGCCTCCCTCCAGCACATTTTGGAGGTCTGTGCTTGCTTTTGAGAGCGTTGGGCTCTGCATAATTCCCGTGTTTAATGTCTCAGTGTCTCAAACCCAGGCAGGGCAGAGCCCTCTGCAGCAAGGTAGGATCGTGGAGTGTTGATGTGTCAAGTTCCTGGTGTCCAAACAAGCCTGTGGGAGTGCCTGGTGGGAAGGGGGGGAGTGGGTAGGGATGGGGACTCCAAACCTCCCTAGGCAGCCCCTGCCAATGTTTAACAACCCTTTCAGTGTTGAAATTCCTCCTGATGTCCAACCTGAACCTCCCCTGGCACAGCTTGAGGCTGTTTCCTCTGGTCCTGTCCCTTGTTCCCTGGGAGTAGAGCCCGACCCCCTTTGCCCCCTACTCCTGTCAGGGAGTGCAGAGAGTGAGAAAGTCCCCCCTGAGCCTCCTGGAGCTGGCTGAGATCAGTGGTAAACCAGCATTAGCCCAAAGTCTCATAAATCCAACCCAAATTCAAGCAGAGCACGGGAAAAATGGATGTGCCACCTGCATTTTCAAAGAGGGAAGAAACCTCTCTGTGAATCCATGAATCTGGATGGAGGGGATGAATTTTAAAGGTTTAAGTCTGCGACCATCCCATGTTTATGTTGGGATTTTAGAGGTGGTTGTGTGAACAATAAGGAGGGTTGGGTGTAATGTGTGTTTGCTTGTATGATTTGTTGTGTTGTTGGCAAATTTAAGAAAATAGATCAACCAGTGAGCCCTGGAATTCACCCAGAGTGGGTTCCTGTGGGTTTAGTACCCATTTAATTGTGAGCCCCTAAGGAAGAGTTTCCTGCTGTTGGAGCATCAATGAAATCCCTCTCACCCCAATTCTCTGGTACCTCACAAAACACGAGTCTGTGCAGCTGCCTTTTGTACCATCAGGGCTGCAAACTCCCTCCTCTTTCCCCACAGCTTCCTTCAGACTGGCAGGAACTCTTCAAAACTCCTGAAATTCGGTGACAATTTGGGGTGACAAGTTCAAAAGTGGGGGGGGGGCTGGAGAGAGGGGGGCAGAGAGCTCAGGCAGGGTGGTTGAACGAGCACAGTTCCCACAGGAAAACACCCTCAAATTCCTGCGTAAAATTCCTCTCCTTGGAGAGGCTGTTTTTCAGGTCTGAAAACGTTGTCATGTGAAAAATACTGACCAGTTTCAGTAAACTCTCCTTTGAGTGTGTCAGTGCAGCCCCTTCTCACAGCAAAGGTTCTAAACCCTCCGGCTTCAGCGGTGTCAGAGAAAAAGCAGTCGCAGTCCGTGCCCTCCCGATTGTCTGGACTTGCTAAAACGTTTCTCGATGATATTTGTGTGCCTGGTGATGAAATATCCCATTTTTAGCTCCGCAGCAGAAAAAAAGGGGGGGGGGGGGTGGTTTTGTTAGTGCTTCTTTTATTTCCACTGTGTGGCCAGAGCAGGGATTTATGATTCCAGGAGAGACAGTAGCAGGCGCGCTCGGATTTTTTTCTTTTTATACTTTTTTTTTTTTTTTTTTAATTGTTTTCCTTTGAAATTCCAGAGTTAGTGTTTTGTCTGCTTTCTCCCTGACCCTCTTCGGAGGCAGGCGTGTGTTTTTTCACCAGAAAAACTGGAAACAAAGAATCGTTGTCTTTAAGCTGTAGCAGGCAGGAAACCCAACTCACAAGGGATCACCCCGAGCCAGCGCTGTCCCAGAGTAGACTCCAGTTCTCTGAATTCAACCTGACAGCTTGTCTGGAGCA